ACCACCATCACCCTATCACCATCACCACCATCACCCTATCACCATCACCACCATCACCCTATCACCATCACCACCATCACCCTATCACCAACACCACCATCACCCTATCACCATCACCACTATCACCCTATCACCATCACCACCATCATCCTATCACCATCACCCTATCACCATCACCATCATCCTATCACCATCACTATCATCACCACCATCATCCTATCACCATCACCACCATCATCACATCATCCTATCACCATCACCATCATCACCCTATCACCATCACTATCATCACCACCATCACCCTATCACCATCACTATCATCACCACCATCATCCTATCACCAACACCACCATCATCCTATCACAATCACCACCATCATTGCATCATCCTATCACCATCACCACCATCATTACATCATCCTATCAAAACATGGCCACCACCATCACCACCGCCATTGTTATCAATACCATTAATACAATCACCTCCACCATCATTATCATCTTCATGAGGAACTGAYTGTGCGTCTTCTGTTTAGAGGGTATACAGTTCATTAATTGCAGAGTCTAACACTTTGATATTTATAAAAGATTCAAATAAATTCAGTAGGAGTTTATTGTTTTATTCTGTCTGTATGTGGGTTTTCCCTGGAAGACATGGATATAATCACATACCTGTGCCCTTCCTATTTTCATTGAAAATAACACAAGGAGGGCAAACTGTGTTCTCCTTCCACTGTGTAAGGGGCCTCAGGAATCCCTGCCAAGTGGCGGGTGTGTCTCACTGGAGAGTGAAAAACGCCCAAGTCGAGGCAGGAGCATGCGCCATTGCTTGTCAGGTTGTGCTGTTTTATACTCACGGAAGCTGCCTTGACCCAGTCTGATTTCCTGTGACAGCAACAATGAGGCCAAGAGGAAAGTGGTACTGACGTGACTTCAGCGGGTGATGAGGAGAGCAAGTCAGCGTGTTCTCTTGTTCTTTTCTGTTTGGGGTGCTAGGGCCTTCCACACGCAAATGCCCTACAACTGAGCGTGCCCCCAGGCTCAGACTGGTTTCTAAAGCCTGTTTCCTTCAGAGTCACACCCACAGGAGTTGGCATGCGTAGAGTGCTACCTGACTTATAACAGGGAAGGCAGCCGGGACATGTACTGGGTGGCAGACCCAGGACCAGATGTGAACCCCTCCAGAAGCAGTCTCGAGAGGAGTGGTCCGTCTACACTGGGTAAATGAGCTACACCTGGGATGCCCTTTGAAGGCTGGGTCGTCCAGTCTCATCCTGCAAGTGCCAGCCTCCATGGTGCGTGGCCAGGTACGCACGGAGGATGCATGTGTGCCAATAGGAATGCGATTTACGGCCCGAGAGAAACCAGCACTGCCCAGCAGGCCCAGGGTCTCGAGACCTTGGTTCTACCGAGGGCCCCCGCTGGGCTGGTGAGGAGGAGAAAGACTCCCTGCCTTCCTGCACCTGTGCCCGGTGCTTCTCAGGGGGATCTGCCATGTGGTCGGGGGTGCACCACCCAGCACTTCATGTGGCCAAGGGACCACCTGGAGCCACAGGAAGGACGGCACCGTGTGTGGCCCTCAGGTTTGTGGAGCCAACCTTCCCTTGAGGGCCAGTGTGGCAGGGGGCGGGGCCAAGCATCCGGGGAGTGAGACGCTGCACCAAGTTCCCTTCAGTGCCCTGCTGCTCACAGCCTAAGAGACAGTGCTCAACGCAGCACTCACGGGAAGAACTTTCCAGCAAAAGCAGCTAGCCTGCAGCAGAGTGGCCCTCCGAGGGGAGCACCGAAGCAGACCAAAGGAGTCGTTTGTCAATRATGTGGGGCAGCTGCCTGACGACCCAGCCCCTCCAGGTCTCAGGACAGGCCTGTGCCAGGGTGGGGGCCGTGT